CTGGATCATTGACATTGCAATTTCAGGGGATGCCAGAGTTGAAAAGAATTGGAAAAACTAACAAAGTAGAAAGACCTGGCCATCGAAACATCTCACCTCTGGAAGAAACACACTTCTGGGTCCCTGTAGTCATTGGGGTTTTGGGAACAATATCAAGAAACTTCACACAGTACTATAAGCAGTTGCAGATCTCAGAAATCACACCATCAGAGCTCCATAAAAAATGGCTATATTAGGAACAGCATACATACTGCGCCGATATTTAACAGAAACTTAGGTTTTTGGTTAAAACTTGTTATCTTTTGTATAATACCAGTCAATGGCTTATGACAACCCTTTTCAGGGCTTTCCAGATAGACAATACTCAGGACACAGTTATTTGCAGTTGAATCTTTCTACCAAATAGCTATGACATAACTGCATTACATTATGGTTACTGAACAAGGACCGTTCCACACATTTTTGTAGTACAAACTAATCTTTTGCTTCTGTACTTCTGTTGTGCTGTGTTTCAGGTTTTCTGGCAGAAGGAAAATGTACCGTTGGTCAGCAACTTGCAGCATACAGAAATTCATGCTTCTACTTAGGTTTGAGAAAGGGAAAAGGCCTACTTTTTGAAACTCTAATGTAAGCTTAACCAGCTATTAGGACAGGCTTGGAGATATAAATATAAAGGCAAGTAATTACTTTTAAAATGAAATGTTCCATGCTCTGAAGAGCTGCAGCAAAGTCTGCACCGGGAACCTAGGGCTTTTATCCTCCTCATGTGGAAAGATGCCTTTCCTTGCATGTCAGTGCTTTTGCGACCAAACTCTGTGTTTGCCCTCCCCCCCTCTATCTGGAGAGTCCTTAAATGCCTGGCAAACCCTCAGAGGGGCCCCAGTGTTCAACAGAGCCAAAGAGGAAACAAGGGCCTGTGGATTCCCAACCAAACACAATGGGGTAGATTTCCCCAACTGGGTGCTCTCCAGATGTGTTCACCAAGAACTCCATAAACCACAGACATTCCTGAGAACGTCAGTAATGTTACGGCCACAGCAACAATACACTGGAGTTGGCCTTGGGAGATTCAGGTTCTGTTGCTCACGGAAACATGAAAAGGAATGAAATTTTAACAGCGCAAAGCGGTGCCAGGGCAAAGAACCACGTTGCTGCTGTTATCCCAGGCAGAGTGCTGCCAAGAGGTACTACCATAAAAATTCATTATGCTTTCTACTGAGCCTTTTCTATTTTATCAGACCTACTTCCATGGTATGGGCATCTCTGAAATGCACTGACTTTGGAACTCTCACAAACACATACAAAGAGCAGCGCTTTCTCTTATCTGGTTTGTCTTTTCTAAATATGAGGATGGGGGTTTGCTCAGTTAGTGCCTCTTGGTCTTGGGGAATGGGGAAAAATTGGTCTGTGTTGTTGTTGCTACCATGATTTTCTAGCCACTCTGCTTCTGAGATGGCATCTCATCCACTTGGAAAAACTGATTCCAGATTCTTGATCACCTTGCTACAGTCTCTATATGTGATACTGGACAAGTACCATATTTTCAACCAGCAAGCTGTCTGTGGACTGTTTTCTTGGAGTTGTTGCAATACTGAACCCTCAGTCATTGGCAGGGAGGGGGGGATTTCTTGTAGGATGGGTATCAGAGCTGGGTATTCTCAGGCACTTACCAACACCCATACTTTGGCAGGGGGTTCATCTCTTGCTGCAACAGCCTCCTGGCCCTCTTGTTGCTCATCTCATCATCGATGGCCTATTCATCCACTCTATATCTATTTCCCCTGGCCAGCAGGAGAATGACAGTAAAATTTTGAAGCAACCTTGTTCCTCTTCAAGTTTTGGTCTACAAATCCTACAGTCCCTTACTCATTTCTGTGTTAGCTGTGGCCTCTGGAAGCTGAAGGTCAACATTTCCTCCCTCACAGTAATTTTTGGGTGGGTGGGTAAGGATGCCAAGAGAAGGAGCACCATGGGCTGAACATGGTCCACAAACTGCACTTGGCCCCTGCAGTAAGCAGTGCAAGTGGGCAGAAGAACCACAGAGCTGCTACAGCCTGCTCATATCTCCATCCTTCTTCTCTTGGTGCAGTGGGGATTGGGCCCAGAGGCAAAACAAAGGGGTCAGCACAAGGAAGAGGTGGACAATAAGGACATGTTGCTCAGGGACACACTCCTGGAGCTACCACTGCTCCAAGGAGTGTAAAAAAATGCCATTCTCTCATAATCAGAAATGCATCCTTTCCACCAGAAGTGCCAGAGATGGATCTGTGCCTGGAAAGAAATGTGTACGTGGAGCAGTGGCCTCTAAAAACTGACTCAGGAAACCTATTCATGCAGATTTCAGAGCACAATGGACATTCTGGCAAAGGGATGCGGCTGTAAAGGGGAGAGTTCGGCCACTCTAGAATTCCCTACCTAGGAGGGCCACTGTAGTCCAAACACCGTCACCTTTCCAAGCTCTTCTAAAGGGCTTCTGTAAGAGAATAGTAAGTAGCTTATCCGTGAAGTGTTTTCATCCACTGAGAAAATTAATCCTCCCCATCAGCAAGCATGCAAAGGGCATATGGTGTCACCCAGACCAAATGTTCTCAAATGGCAGTCACCAGACCATGGGTGGTCTATAGCATTCACTTCGGCAATCCATGTTTGTAATATGGCCGTCCCACCCAACTTCGTATCCTCTTCATGCATTGGACTACATCAGCCTCCGTGAACATGAACTGCCTGCTGGCTGGAAATGAACTTGTGCAATATCACCCACGAAGATCACTCAAATTGGAGAAGATAGTGAACATGAACTGCCTGCTGGCTGGAAATATGGAACTTGTGCAATATCACCCACAAAGATCACTCAAATGGGAGAAGATAAACATTACCCTGTGTTACAAAAATATCATTTCAATAATGAACATAAAGCAAATATGGATAATGGATAAAGAAAGTTTATTAATTGGTGCACTGACTTCTAATACTTCTCAGGAGGGTCATGAAAGAAATAGTTTGAGAACTACTCATATAGATCCATTTTTACTCTTAATATTCATTTGTTTGTCTCTGATCTCTAGTTACAAGATGAAAAAGATGACTATATATATAGGATGGTTTATATATACATATATAAAGTAAAGGCTATTGCTGTAGTTTGGTGCTTCTTCTATGAAGCATTGCTTCCAAGAATACACATCCAGAATCCCTAGCCATCTTTTTGGATACAATTCCTGCATCCCTTACTTATGATCTACGTGCAATTTCAGCACTTCTCCCAAATAAAAGAATTAATTTCTTTTCAGCTGATACATACCCATTTCTGGATGGATGGTATCCAGCGTCATAATTGTCTCTCTCAATCGCAGTGACAGAAGCTTGGCTTGGGGTTTCCTCACTGCCGAGCTCTCTTTCCCAGTGTTCTTCAGGCAGGGAAGACCGCTGTGGGTTTGTTGGCATCCTGTGATCTTGTGCCCATGGCTTGTGCCCATGGGGATACCTTGATCTGACATCTGACTGCACCAACTCAATAGTGCCACAGAGGAGTAAAATCTTAGCTATCATTGCAGATCCTTTTCAGCTGCTTATGCCTCTCTGCGCTTCAGAGCGAGTTGTTCCTACAATCCTCCTTGCACCATTCCTTAAGCTGAAACTTTGAAGGGGGGAATTACACTCTTAACAAAGAGCGGAAGCTAAGTGGTCAGCCCTCCGAGCTACAATGGAAATGTCAGAGGTCAGACGACAGTGTGCAATGGGTTCCTGTGAGCGGAGCCCAAAAACACATGGAGGTGGGGAGAAAGACAGTTGTGTGTGTGCAAAGGGGAAAGGATCATGGTTTATTGAAGGGGAAAAAAGTACTTGTGATTTTTGTCTGACTACTCAACTTATCACCAGGCAGGAACTGAGTCTTTTATCAGCTCCCTTCTTGCTGGGGTACAGGAAAAGGATGTTAGCTTTAATGAAGAGGCGAGGAAAAGAAAATATTGAGTGATGGCGTAGGTTCCCAAGCTCTATGATACAGTACATACAAACCAACCTTATATTTGCAGAGAATAGGTAGATATCTTGTTTTAAAACACACACCTAGATTCCACAATAAATGAAAATTATGCCAAATAGGTTAATTTGCATGGTATTCATTTACATGTTTTGTTTAGGTCCACCCACTCCAACCACTGAAAATCTTCCATAGGTTTTGTGTGTGTGTGTGTGTGTGTGTGTGTGTGTGAGCTTGATTTAAGAAAGGAAGGAAAAAAGAAAAATGAAATTCTGAGGAAACTTAACCATGTCCAGTCAAAATCACATATTGCTCCTTTTTGATATACAAGAAAAGAGAGAACACACAGTCCAAGGAACAATGTACCCCATTCCTTTGTTTCAATAAACCCCATTGCTGAAGTGGAAGAGTGTCTGGGCCCTATGGATACAAGATTGTAGGAGGGTTTGCCTGCAGGCCTCACACTTGGTCCCGGCAGTGTGGAGCACAATATAACAGTTGCTCCATTCCAAAGGATTTTCTTTTAAATGCATGTAGACTGAAAGGTGTGCCAGCCAAACCCCCAGCAGCCGGAAACACATTGTGGAATAAAATCAAATCAGATAAAACAAAAATTATAGTGTTTATGTTGTACAATAGTTCCTGAGCCAGGTGAATTCCAATTACTCTGAAAAATATGTTGATGTCCTACAAAGGAATAAACCAGAATACAGTAGGTCATTTTTGTTTCACTGTATTCTGGGTTACTGAAGAACAGCATGGGGCATTTGCTTTCCTGACAGTATGTCAGCCTGGTCGAGACAAAATGGAACAGTCGGACAAATTGACACACCTGTTGGGACAATTTTTATTCCACTCAGTTTTTAGGTCTATGGGGTGGAGGGGTGGGAATCTGTAAATGGAAATTAAGGACATCGCTTACTACTATACTGATGATACTGTTAATCCACCGATGATATTGCTAATCCACCGTGACCTGCCTACATTACAGGTGTTATTCTCTGCACTTTCTGCAATGCAGAAGTGCTTCTAGCTCGAGTACCTTTAGGAAAGATAAAAGTGTTCAGTTATAGTAATGCATGAAGATGAAAGGTTTTGGGTAAACAAGTGGCAGTGTTTAAACCATCATGGTGGTTTAAACACTACTCCAAAGCTACAAGTAAATTCAGGATTTTTTAAGTAATGCAAAAGGCTTGTTCACAAGGCCCTTATAATCTTCAAAGCTGTGAAGGAGAAACTAGCATACTTGAAAACCCCATTCTGGCACCAAGGCTCACTGCCTGAGCCCTCTACCCTCCTCATCATCACATGTTGCTAAAATGCTCTGATGGGCCTCTGCCCATTCTTTGCTATGTTCATTTAGGCTGCCTTGCATCCAAATAAAAGCTCTAAGGTGGTTTATTTGTTTCTCGGATATCGGCCAGAAAAACATGATTGCTATGTCCCTGAGCGGTTCAAAACAAGTTGTGTCAGCTATAGCATGCCGCATGATGTATTGTGCCTCACACAGCTGGGTTTCTAGGAATATTAATCAGAACTGGAATACATCCACTTGCCTCCAAACTTTCTAGAGCCAGAGAGGGGACACCGTAGCTGGAAAAAGTTAGTCTCCAGGCTACAGCTTCCAGAAGCAAAGCAAAAACAAAGTATGCTGGTTGTATGCCACCTCATAGTGCTTAAAGCTCTCTCTGGGTGGTTTACTACAGTCGTGCCCCACTTAACGATTACCCCGCATTACGATGAATCCGCTTCATGATGATGTTTTTGCAATCGCAATTGCAATCGCAAAACAATGTTTCAAATGGATTTTTTTCACTTTGTGAAGATCGGTTCCCTGCTTCGGGAACCGATTCTTTGCATTACAATGATCAAAACAGCTGATCGTCGGGTTTTCAAAATGGCCACCGGGCGCTCAAACTGGCCCCCGCTGTGCTTAGGGATGGATTCCTCGCTATACAGGCACCGAAAATGGCCGCCGTATGGAAGATCTTCACTGGACAGTGAGTTTTTAGCCCACTGGAACGCATTAACTGGGTTTTAATGCGTTTCAATGGGTTTTTTATTTTTGCTTTACAACATTTTTGCTCTACAGCTATTTCGCTGGAACGAATTAACGTTGTTAAGTGAGGCACCACTGTATTTAATTATGCAGGCTACAAATTTCTCCTCCCCCCCACAAGCTGGGTACTCAGTTTACCCATCTGGGAAGGTTGAGAGGCTGAGTGAACCTCAAGCCGGCTACCTGAGCCCAAGTTTGAACCCAAGTCATGAGCAGAGTCGTAACTGCAGTACTGCAGACTAACCACTGTGCTGCGAGAATCCTTAGTCAGCATGGCCTCACCTCCATGTTTTACATTCTGGAATTCTAGAACCTGTAATATGAAAAAGGAATACTATGAGCAGAAAACTGGAGAACAGTAATGCAGACCAACAAGATTGAAAACAAGAAATACATATTCTGCATAAGAAAAAGGTAAATCCCGTAAGGAACATGGATGATTGTAAGAATTTATGGTGTACTAGAGAACAAGATGGAGACTACAGTATCTCACCTTCCATGGTGTACTAGAGAACAAGATGGAGACTATCTCACCTTCTAGATGCCGTTTGATTATACCCTCTGTGACATCACAAATGTCTGCCACCAGCTTCAGGTTTCAAAACCTGATGCTGCTGGCCTGCCAATCCAATTAGCAAACAATACTGTATCTGTTTGATAACCACAAATGTTCTAAAAAGTGGAAAATTGTGAAGTGTTGTAATGTGGTGGTTAAAGGGACAGAGACTCAAAACAGACATGGAGGGATTGCCTGTTCCCAGTGAGCAGCACATCCCCACTTGAATCAGCAAGATTCCCTTTTATGTGCCTCATGATTCAGATATGTAAATTAAGGCCATGTTTACTTTCCAGCACCAAATCTCAAAAAAGCATGTTAGACTACAAGACATAGAGATGAGGGAAATGCCATGAGAAATAGATGTATTTTACTATTTAAGGGAGTATTACTTCTATATACCTGTGTTCTAAACATCTTTGGAGCATATAATCTAGTTTTACCCTGAACTATGGAGGTGATGGTTTGAATCCTGTCATGAACTCACAAGGTAAGAAATACATTTTTTCTCACTCTTGGCCTCTCTCTTTTGCAATACAGGAGATGATAATCCTGTCCTACCTCATAAAGGTACCTCATAGGGATATTATGACAATTACAGATAGATAGTGCATGTGAACCATACAGAATACTCATGAGCACCATATGTGTATTAAGCATTATTTTGCTAGAGCAAATTAAAAATATAAAATATAAGATTTTGTTTGTTTGTTGTTTGAAAAACTCATCACAGCTGCCTCAGGACTAGAGTTTTAAAATCCTGCCTTTTTACTGCAACTCCCAGAGTCTTGAAGACAGCATGGCCACTGTTCATGGAGACTGGTGGCCATGGCGTTTGAGAGATTCTACAAGCTGCAATCCAAAAAAGGTAACATTTCCTAGCCCTGCTTCAGATCTCAAGTTATCTGTATAATTTAATAATGGATTGCATTTATAGTTGAATAGTTTCATAACTTACTCTTTGCCAGTGGATCCAGAGTTCTGATTTGAGTGCTCTCAGGGAACAGCTACGAGGCTTTTAAAAATGCTGTCTCATTCTGCCTTCCTTGTAAAACATACGCACTGCCTGCACCTCCTCCCTTCTTGCCCTCCTAGTGAAATGGCTCCTGGGAATTATCACCACACTTTTTATATCTGCAGAACCAAAAGTTCAAAGGGGGGGGGAGAAACTGAGCTTGCCTACTTTTCATATTTTCTCCAGCTGTTCTTGAAAAAGATTGCTAGAGGAGAAAGCACAGTACTCAAAAGGCCCAGAGTTTCATGCCAGAATAGATGCCTTTGCACGCAGAAGGTCCCTGGTTGGTTCAGTTCAAGGAGCTGAAGGGCTAGATCTCTAGCTGAGATGTTGTCTGGAAGAACCTTGCTAACCAACCAAATTTAATCTTTCTAGGATTGAATGCACCCGTCCGAATCTCACTTGAGCCTAGATTCATTGGGCACTTTTAAGTCAAAGATGGGAGGTTGTCACTCAGTAGGACTGATGCAGCCCGCAGGAGTCTCTCTACCTATCCTCCATGGCCTTGTTGCAGAGTTTTGAATTTCTGGTAAAATTCCTTTTGGATACACAGTAGAAATACAGAGGCTCACAAAGGAGAAGAGATACAAGTTCTCCAATATCTACTCTTTTCTCATTAACTGGCACTTAAAAATCTCAATATCTTACTCAGAGCCATTTGTAGGAGAAAGAACAACATTGTTTTACTTACATTTGCTTGAAAATTACAGCCTCCTATATGTTGCTTTCTTTCTGCACACATACTTAGCAAGCAACTGAAGAGATTGACAGCAAAAACACCACCAGCAAAACCCAGTGAGACAGAAGCAGCAGCCACACAACATGGGTCAGGTGGACTGCCCTGTGGACACAGATAGGTAGCATTAGGTAAAGGTTCCCCCCCTTGACATTTTTAGCCCAGTTGTGTCCAACTCTAGGGGGCGGTGCTCATCCCGTTTTTCAAGCCATAGAGCCAGCGCTTGTCCAAAGATAGTTTCCATTGTCACATGGCCAGTGTGACTAGGGAACGGCGTTTTACCTTCCCACCGAGGTGGTACCTATTTATCTACTCGCATTTACATGTTTTCGAACTGCTAGGTTGGCGAGGAGCTGGGACAAAGTGACGGGAGCTCACTCTGTCACGTACAGTAGATTTGATCTTACAACTGCTGGTAGGTAGCATTACTTTTGGGGCATACAATTGTCAGAACATTCCTACCACTGGGCCTAATGGCCATTCTGGAAGTTGTAGTCTCAAAAAGCAACTTTGCCCATCCCTCCTGTGCTCTCTGCTTAGACTTAACACTAAGAGTGAACATTCAGTCATCTCCATCACTTTAATTTTGAGAATTCAGACTAGCTTTTACGAGTAGTTTTCTACAATTTTCCCTTTTCTTGTACTCCCAAAATTGACCTCCAGGCACCTCCTGTGAGAACTGTACAGAACATTTTAAATGATTTTTCTGAGATTCCAGCAAAGGCTAAGAGGAAAATAGAATATAAGGAATGAAAACTCTTTCATGCTAATTGAGATTTAGTCAATAGGAATACATTGATTACTGACCTGGAGCTCCAGTCTTAGCAGAGATCAATATTGTATTTATTCAACACAAAGCTTGTAACAGAGGATTCCTTTCCTGAAGGTCAACACTTCCTCCTTTGTGATTCAGAAGATCGGGTTTTTCAATGGCAAAAATGCATGCATTGATGATCAAACCTCAGAACTATATTTTATGGTTTGGAGATCTGAGTTTCTTCACCAGTGTTCAATTATTTGTCCACAGACCTGAGAGTGGTAATGATACTACTTCACCATCATATCCCTGCTGTCTTACATTGGGATGTTCTACTTAGGGTCAATGTAGATGTTTGTTGGATGATCCCAATGACTGGATCAAACAATAATTCAACATCTAAAATGTAACTGGTGTTATCATCTTTTGTGGAAACTGCCTTTCTATTTTTGCTTTTTTTCAGTTTCATTCATGAAGTGGTTCACCATCTCCATTTGTTAAATTTTGAAATATGAAGACCTCTGCTGAAACCTGCATCTTTTTCATAATGTAAGGTAGGGAATATGTGCCTGTAGCGTTCCGCTTTATTTTGTCAATGATTCATGTTTTAGTATGTTAATTATTAATGCATATTCATGTTGCTGAGAGATGGAGCTGAGAGAGATCTTATAAGAGGCGGAGCTATATATGTGTGTGTTCAGGCCCACTGGTTGTGCTGAAACTCCTAGCATATATTTAATAATATATACATGTTAAATATATGTATACATTTAACATCCTATATATATTAAACATGCTATATATATATGAGTTCAGGCCCACTGGTTGTGCTGAAACCAGTCTTTTTTTAGAAGATGGCCAAAAACTGAGCCAGAAGCACCAAACCGTGATGAGCAGAAAAGGAAAGGGTCTTATAATAACCTTCTCTTCTTGAAAAATACAGGGTTTTTTTTCCAAGGAAGTAAGAAAGAGTAGGTGCCCCAATAGGCCCTTCCACTTTTCTTTTTTAGGACTTTTGGGGGTGGGTGCCTCTAGGGGGGTGCCCACCTCTCTAATATAAAACTTCTGGGGACCTTCAGTGATGGAAATAGGCATTTTCTGGCTATATAACCAGTGTTTTCTGTGAAGGAAACTCTGGTGTGACCTGTGGGCTGTCCATATAAATCAGGGTTTCTGTGTGGAGCACTGCAAGATGCCCCATTTACATACCAAACGGTGGTGTGCACATGAGGCAGGATGTGCCCATCCTGACAGGCAAAGTTGATTGCTACTAAAAAGCATGTGAACAGGTCTATTTTGTAAAAAAAGAAATGTATGGGGGTTTTTTGTGTTGGGGGGGGTTGTTAATGAAACAAAGCTCTTTACAGAACTTCCCTCTTCAAACCACTTAAAGTCACAAGAGAAAAAAGCCGTGAGTTATTTATCACTGCAACACTTCATTGGTCATTAATGTGTCATCTGCCTTAACCTTCTCATTAATGTGGGCGAAAGGTGGTCTCCAGTGCACTTTAGTTGTAAGAAGGTATTTTCTGTATATATGTGTGTGTGTGTCATTTTTCATTTCAGCTACTGTCAAGATAACAGCTTAAGACTGAATTCACAGCTATCCAGTAAGTAAAACTCTTACTGTGTGTTTATTGCCTGAGTGATTTATGGATCATTATTCTTCATGGCCCTGCAGCACATTCTCTTTTCCCTAACAGTTATATCTCTCTGTTCATATCTCCAGTTTGTTCAGTTTTGGAAAACAGCCAGTCAGAAACTCTACTTTTTCAAGTCCCATTATTTATTTTATCTCACATCAAACGGAATATGAAAAAAGTGATTACATTTTTTTTGTATCCTTTCTATTGGTCTGTGCTTTTCATTGTTCTGCAAACTGATTTTCCCCTTCCATATTTTTATTTCAAACAGGAAAAATAAAATAAATTAGACACTTGACAGGTGGAATCCAGACAAGATGTGGCTCTTGGGTTCAAGGAGCCTTGATCAACGCTACCTCTGATGCTCCTCCTCTGTCTTATGAGGCCACATCAGGCAACAGCCACCATTTCAGTTCCTTAAATGGCCCCAATACTCAGCTGGGAAAACTGGCAACCTTCAGAATCCCCACCTAACATAATCATTGGACTCAGTGGAAGGCACATTTGAGGAGCCATGCGTAAACATGCACTGTAGGCTATCTAAAATGTGCCCACCTGGGTTTTGGATCTGTTTCCCCCCCCCGCCAAAAAATAGGTGTTTTCAAGATGAGTTGGACTACAACTTCCACTATTCACAGAAATGGTGGGAATTGCAGTCAAACACATTTGTAGGGCATGAAACTGGGGAAGGGGGTCTTTTAACCTGCTGAGGAAGGTGCTAAAGAGCAATGTTCATTTTCTCAAGTGACAAGTGCAGTTTGTGCCTGTGCAGAGGTTTGGCTCTGTGAATTTGCAACCCCCACCACACCTTATAAACATTATCTTCAAAGATGAACTTGTGCTACTCATTACATCTTGGCAGCTGGACTGCCATTATTATGATTCTTGCATGCCCACTTTACCAAACTGAAAAAAAAAACCCCACTGGAAACTACTCTCTAGTTTCCTCTAGTGGTCAGTTTTGACACTGTATCTTGCAAATATTGGTGAAAATGGGAGGCAAAATCAAAGTATGAGATTGATTACAGAATGGCATAAAGCCTGAACAATTTCTGTCAAAATACCCCTTAAAAGTAACTTTGAAATTAAGAAAACATTATTTGTTAACCCTAAAAATAGTTTTCAGGTATTTGTTATATTAACAATAATGGGCCCTTCAAGCTGATTCTAATTCACAATGCCCCTGTTAGGGTTTTCCTAGGTGTAAAGTGTCAATATATGTTTTGCCAGTTCATATGATCAAACAGAAGGCAGGGCACTTTATCCACTCAGACCCACATGCTCTGGGTGATTTCAGCTGACTGCTCTCCTGGGCACAGGGGGGGATTTAAACTCCGTATCCTGACTCCACAGCTAGGCACTCCAACCCACTGAACTATACTCTTATTGGTTACATTATTTTTACTGTAATGTTGTAGCTGCTCAATGCATTACTGGTTGCTCAGATAGTCATCAGTTATGGGTAACTACCTTAATTATAACTAGTTATGGCCAAGCTTTGGTATCCCTGCCTCATCTTCAACAGAGTGACTTTGCATCCTACCAGATCAAGCACAGCCTCTATCTGAACAGTTTTTAGAGGATGGTTCCCTTTTTCAAGTTGTCCTCAGTTTGACAGATTGTTCCATCTTTCTTTGGTACTAAGGGTCTGTATCCCAGAGTCTGTTTGAAGAGACTTGGAGACTGAACATTACACTAACAAAAATACTAAGTACTACTACTGCTATTACTACCACCACCATTGTTACTGATGATGATGATGATGATGATGATAGAAAAGTTCAAAACCCAAAGTATGGCAAAAGTAAATTTGAATCTACTAGTAGATCCAGATATCAGAGTGATCTGCAGTATATCAGGATGAACCTGCGAACCAGATCAGAATTGCCAGGTCAAAGCATCTCATTGCATGAGATTTCACAGCCAGAGCCTGAGCATGGGAGATGGAAGCCTGAAACCCAAGACCTGGCAACCCTACTGGGTGTCGATACGGTATGTATGTATGTATGTATGTATGTATGTATGTATGTATGTATGTATGTATGTATGTATGTATTTATTTATTTATTTATTTATTTATTTATTTATTTATTTATTTATTTGATTTATACCCCGCCTATCTGGACCACCGGACCCCTCTTCAAAGAGAATGGAAAGACTCCCCTCATGTGTGGTCCTGTATGACATCACAAGCCCTCAGGACTGGTGCTGCGGCCTTCTTCCACAGCTCGGCTAATCCTGCGTTCATCCTGACTCAGGTTAAATCCTAGACTGGGATTCCTTGCTAGGTTTTGGGCCCTCCCTGTACCATTTGCTCACTGTCCCCAGCCTTTGCAACCTTCCAATTTGATAAAGGGGGGGGGAATAGCAACTTCGTTCCCTGGGGCACAGCTGCAAAATCTTCTGTTTCCCCGCAGAAAGCATCCATGGAACGTCCTTGAAGAAGCATTGAAGCAGATCTGGATGTGGTCCAGAAAGTCTCTCTCACACATACAGATATTTTACCTCAGCATCCCCTCCCCCCTCCCCTCGCCTCTATTTTCTCTAAAACCTTACCAGGCAAATCCATATCATTAATATTTCAGCCTCAGCCTCTGGCAGGCATTGGCTACGCTGCAACTTAGCTCATCAATAAGAGCTGGCAAGGAGGGGGCTTCAGTCCACCAGATACGCTGCTTGCATCTGGCAGAGGGAGAAAAGCCAGAGAGACTTTCAGGGAAAGAAAGTGAGGGAGCGAGCAGGGCTGGGGCTGCAGAGAAAGCCAGCAGCAGCAGCAGCAGCCCAGTCAAGAGGAGAGAGAGCTTGCTACAAGGCAGTCCTCACTGCAGGTACCTCTCAAGCCAAACCAGTCCTCCTCATCATGGATGTCTTTAAGAAAGGCTTCTCCATTGCCAAAGAAGGGGTGGTGGCTGCTGCAGAAAAGACCAAGCAGGGAGTGACTGAAGCTGCTGAGAAGACCAAGGAAGGGGTGATGTATGTCGGTAGGTGAGAGCATTCGCTTCTTGAAAGGGCATTTGCACATGCGGTGCAGCCGGAAAGAAATCCCTGTGGGCTTCGTGACCTTGAGGGAGATGATGTTACCCTTCGTTTGCCCAGTGACAAATATCAGGACCTTTTGCAAAGAGCCATGAGTTGATTGGGTCTCTCCCATGTAAGATCATTTATTAACTGCATTTTTTATAATTAGTAAGAAGTATATGGCATGATGAAGGCAGTCTCATTTTAAAAAACACCCTCCCATGTTACCTTTGATACACTGGATCTTTAAGCTCTTGATCTGCATATGCATTTCCGTGGGAACACCTCCCATTGAACTTAGCAGGGTCTTTTTCTAGGTAGGACGGGCAGAATGGCAGTGGGGATGGTGCATAAGGGAAGTGATGTCTGCATTTCAACTGCATTGGGGACAGCGCCCGGGGGGGAGGGGACAGATGGAAAAGTTTGATGGTTGTTGTTTGGTTCTGATTTTGGATTGCTAACCATGCTGGTTTGGGATAATGATAATTCCTCCTTTCCTGTCCTGTGCTGTCCCACTTGTTTTTGTTTGCTTGCTTGTTTTCTGAATAAGAACAGAGCAATGCTAAGATCAGGAGGCATTGAGTTCCTCTGAAGTGTGTGTTTGTAATTCAGGGTTTCACCTTTAGCTTACTTGCAGGGGCTCGTCATACTGCAAAGGAGTAAAGGAGGCAGGACTCTTCTGACACACATAAAATCTGTATTGGAGGATCAACAACTACTGAATTGTATTATCAGTTGAGAGTTCCTGAAGGGAGCTCCATTCTTGGTCTTCCCAAAAACACAGTGGAGTCCCTTTCCGTTCACCTTGTTGGGATGACGGGAAATTGTCCTTGAAGCTGATTGCCTGGCAGAGAAGCAGTTGTAAGCATTGCTCCAGTCTGGGAGTAGAGGACTTTCAAATGTTTGCAATGTTGTGAGTCTAGTAGGGCTTCTTTCACATACTGGAACTGAAATGGTGTAACTGGGATGACAGGTAGATGGCAGGAAGGCGAGATAACAGAAAGAAATCAATGAGTGAAGAAAGAAAGAAGGATCTCTGCAAATACTTCCTTCCTGCTGTGTGAGCATGAATCTGGAAACATAGTTTTAATAATTTTACTCTTACCATGTTTTCCCGAAAATAAGACAGGGCCTTATATTAATTTTTGTTTCAAAAATGCATTAGGGCTTATTTTCAGGGGATGTTTTTTTTTCATGTACAACAATCTACATTTATTGAAATACTGACATGTCATCTTCTTCTGGTTGCTGCATGATGGTGGAAGGCAGGATTTCACTTAACTAGGGCTTATTTTTGGGGTGGGCCTTATATTACGAGCATCCTGAAAAATCATACTAGGGCTTATTTTCAGGTTATGTCTTCTTTTCGGGGAAGCAGGGTAGATGAGAACAGAAGTGGTGGCAGCTGGTACCCACTGTAGTTGGTGGGTTGAAAGATACAACACACAATAATAGGGAGAGTCCGAGGCAAGCATGGATACTTCCACAGAGACATTGACCCTCTCTCCCCCTTCACAGGCAAACTGTCACCATATACACACCTGCCTTTAGAAGGAAGACAAGTAAGGGTGGAATGGTTGGGGTAGACACACACGAGCAGGCAAGCAGAGAAGCAAGCAGGCTGGAGGGATCCTGCAGTGGGGTACCCCCTCCCACTTTTCCCTACAGAAGAGCCAGTAAACAGAAGGGTGGAACACAATGGTGATGTTCTCATATGCCCTCAGTCAAAAACATGATTGTGTTATGGGGCCATCCTGGCCCTACAGCTGGAGAGCGGTGCCCTAGCACCAGGTTTCTGCTCAGTCATGGGACATCTGACTGAAGAATTCATAATGGTGAGAAATGCTTCTTTCTCTATCTCTTTGCAGCTGATATTTTGCATCCCTGGTGGCCTTTGCTTTTGCAATCTAAATGCAACCATTCAACCTACTGAACAAAGACTCACCTCTTCCCACAGCCTTGACCCTAACGTGCCACTTTCCTCAGTTACATCGCTTGGTACAGAGTCTTCAGTCTGTCTCAAGAGAGGACATTTTGTCCCATTAGTTTCACTTCATAACCATAAAGTTTTGCAGTAGACAAGAGACATCTTTGGGTGCCTGTCCATTGTGTCACATCATCAGCACATATATTGCTGACTGGTAGGATATCTCAAATCTTCCAGTATATAATGAGATAGCTATGGTTTCTCTTGCCTCCACCCTCAGTTGCTGCTACAAGCAGGTATTTCAGCGTGTGGCACAACATATGAGAGAAAACACAGACGACAGAGTGATAGGGGAATTTATAGCTATCTCTTGTTCTGATTTTATGAGAGATATAAAGGGTGTTCCATTTATTGTGGGGTAAGTCTACTCTTAGTTCATATGTGCAGAGAGGCTACTATGAATAATAAATGATTCCATTAGCTGTATTTATTAAATGATGTAAAGGGTTTGCATAAATGCAGACAAATGTAACTTGTGTTAGTAACATTAGTGACGTATTTTTTTAAGATGGAAGACAGGATTTTAAAATAAGACTGCTCCTTTTCCAACATAATTTTGAGTAACAAAAAGCTGGCATTTCAAGTTAGATATGGCCAAAGTCGACAACCACAACCACACATACCTATTGAGACACTGCTAGAAGAAAAAAACACTGTGGGATTATTGCAGCCTGACATGATGAATCTCCATAATCCCACCAGATTTAAGAGGTTTTGTTTTGTTTTGTTTTGTTCCATGGCACACCCAAAGACCTGCTTGCAACAACATTTGAGGGGAAGGCAGTGAGAGGAGAACAGAGGGGAGAGGCTGAAGGAAATAAGCTATGGTGACTCCTTCTTACGTGGAAGATTTGAAACATCCTACTGGCCAGTGAGAAAGCAAATTAGACCCTTACCTGGATATATTTTAAAACTAGGCACTGAATGATGCAGCAAATTAGCAGCCAACCTATCATTGCCTTAGTGGCAGTGATTTTATTATATATATTTTTTGTCTATCTCCCCAAGGCCCTGACCATGAACAAGCTGCAATATACTGATGAGTCACTGCAGAGTGTGAGAGCCTCAGCTGGTTTTACAAGGGCCGCTGCAGGACACGGCAGCTCTGTTTATCTAACTGCAGGATGAGCAAAGCTCAGGATTATCAGTTCCACGTTTTGAAAAATCTAGACTCTGAAGAACCACCAACCAGAGCTGAGTACAGAAGATATATATTTACAACTGCATATGCTAATTCTGGAAGTTGTTTCCAGTATGTGAACTGATCTGAGCTCACAGTCCCCCAAAGAAGCCACCCAGCACCTTTTTCATTCCAGAACCCTCATTTAGGTGTGTGTGTGTGTGGCGGGAGTATCAGTATTGGTACACTTTTGGGAGTCAGACCCCGTTGCTAAGCCATTGCCAATCTAGTTCAGGAGGCAGTGGCCTTTTTGGTGACCCAAGGAGGCCTTTCCCATCAACTGCTGATCAGTGGCTGGTCAGGTAGAAGGAAAATAAAAAAGTTTATATCAGTTTTCTGTAATAAGAATCCAGATCCTGCAACTGTCATCTCGACTCTAAGGTATTATGTTATCATAGGCATTGTACATTGTGACTTAATTATCAGTGAGGAATCTAAGTATTGCCAATTAGCTAAATATTCCTAGTGAGTGAATAGCAACACAGGAGTAGAAATTATAGTAAGGGGAAGGGTGTAAGGTTTTAAGGCAACTAAGTAAAAGAAAGCTAATGAGCATAACCTGGAGCAGTGTTACAGCGCCTAAGTGCTGTATTACTACTTCAAATATAACCTTTGCTACAAAATAACTACATGGCCTGAGCAAACGAAGAGAGGGGTCATTCACACATAACTTTAAAAGGTTAAGGTTAAGCAGCTCAGTAAAATGGAGGACCAAGCAGGGTGTTGATCTGCATCAAATTTGCCTCTGCTTCTGTAAAAAAGGTTGCCATAAATTAGAATGGTCTTCATGGTGCACAATTATTATAATGTATACGTATGTATAGATGCAAATTTACAGACAGATACTGCTGTTTAATATGTTCCTTTTGAACCATAGCAGGGAAGATTGTGATCCAGGGAAGAACTGTGACCAGGTGACCTGCTGCTTGGTCTCCATCCAAGTGCTAACTGTAGGTGGTCTCTCTCTCTCTTCCCCTTCTTATGGGTCTTTATTTTTCAACTAGACTTGGTTGGGACAGTCTTTCGATTATTTTAGAGGATGCCTATCCCTAAAGCTAGAAACCTTTACTAAATTTAATTGCTAAGGGAGGAGCGAATCACAACAGATAAGAATGCCAGGATGTGAGTGTATGAAGACTGTTTTGCCCAGTCTCTTAACCCCATCTTTGTAATGTTGTTGTTGTTTTTTGTTGTTGTTATATATTATTATTCAAAAATACCAGACACAGTCAATCAAAACTATAAAACATGGACTGGTATTATATAATAGATACAGGTTTTTACCAAAAACCTAATTCTGGTTCGAAGGACCATCCCTGCAAGGGCACAGGCCTTGTTGAGGTGGAAGGGCTTGCATGCTTCAGTGAGATTGAGAGCTATGGTAGCGGTAGTATTGCTACCTGACGGGTCTCCCAAGCCAGACAGGTCTCAGCTGAGAAGGCAGACCAGCTGTGTCCATCAACCATCAATTATGATGAGAGGAGATAAACAGAAATGCATACCAGATTGGTCATCACCCAGGTCAACAGGGGCTGTGTCAGATTCAATAGCTCCAGGACATCTGGTGACAAATGGGCTACAGGGCTCAGCAGACCCTGTTGAGGGACCAAGATAGGCTGCTGCAAAGCTACTGGAACAATGTAAAAGCAAAACTTCGACTCCCACCAAAAATTGAGAAATTGTTTGGTTGGTTGGTTGGTTAGTTGGTTCAATAGGGGTGGGGAACTTTTTTTCTGTCTGGAGCCTTTGGGCCCTCAGAGAGAATCTATTATGAGACACAAATCATCCATGGCTGAAACTAATATGTTGCCAGGATCAAAGGAGAAAATGTGCAGTTCTGCATCTTTCCTCATCTCTTCGCTACCATTATTTGGCTTCCTTTTCTCTCTCTTTTGCCTTTTTCGACCATCCCTCCTGGCAGGATTTGAGTTCCAGTCTAGAGGAAGGCGCTTGCCTATGGAAACAAAAACAACTGTGGCAGGAATAGGGAACTTGTGTGATTCTCCAGAGGTTGTTGGACTACAAACCCCATTGACCCTCATAATCGGGTCTGCTGATTAGGACTGATGAAACCTCAGGTGCATTAGCAGCTGGATGGTCATATATTTTGCATCCCTGGTCAAAAGCCAGTATTAGCTGAGTGATGTTGGTGTTTGTGTGTGGGTTGTTTAACAATGTGAGATGGAAGACCAAAATTGTATGGAAAGCTTGCCCACAAGACAGAAATGATTCCCAAATTTTGGGGACTGGGGCCAATAGAAAAGAAAATGGGGGACACAGTGCAAATCTGGACAGCAGGGTGCTTAGGGTGGGGAAATCAGACCTCTCCCCCTTTAAGAATAACATATTCCAAGAATGCTGTTGGAAACACACACAATCTCCTCCCCTGCTCATAAATTATTTGTAGTGTTGATCTTTCTGAGCATCTCTTTCCTGGCTGTCTCCAGGTTTGGGGGACCTTTGGGAGCACACCCTCTGAGATCTCCTCTCTTACATAAGTGAAGCCCCAGTGGGGTTTGCTTGGGGTGGGGCAATGGCAAGCCGTCAAGAGCCCCAGAAAACTTGCCGTGGCATGGCCAGCCCTTTACATTGCCCACAATCAAGACCAGCCCCCACTGTGGGCAGCAGAGTGCAGCTTTTTCCCTTCCCACCAGGGAGGACACGTGCCATTCCAGAGAGACTTTCTAGCTCAGACAACACACTCTTTCCCAGAACTATCTGGTCCACAAACCCTGGGCTCTGAGGGATTTTGTGCTGTGGCACCCTTTTCACCAGGGGGACTCCTCAAACTCAGGCATTTGGGGCTGGGCAGCCCTAATGGGAAGCAGCAAGGATCACTTCACGTAGCTGACAGTGCTCTCCAGAGAATCTGTCATCATTTATCATCTCCTCAGAGTGAGGCAGAGAGTGAGTAGCATTGGTAACAGTGGTGTATGTGTGCAAAACAAGAAGACCGTTGGGAGAATTCAAGCTCCTATTGTCCAGAAGTCTCCAGAAGACTGTGACTTTGGGGCTAGCCTAGAATCAGAGGAAACTGAAAGGGCAGCCAGATCCCAGGTCTTCTTGGTCCACCACCACCTATGCATCCACCCACAGGGACAGGTTGAACTTGTAACCTTATACACCCAAGCTACAGGCAATGGTTGACCTGCCACAGTCTGTTGTGGCGTGTTTTGCTTTGTTGTTTGCAACAGCTATTCTCTGCTGGCAAAGCTTCGTGCTGCCAGATCGGATTTCATGCCAGGCATAAAGTCTGAGTCACTGGGTGTGGCCCTTAAAGAACACCGAAAAGACCGTTACAGGAAGGGCATCTCTCTCCCCCTTGCCTCTGCTATTCTTTCCATCTCCTTGGCCTTTCAATCCCAGAAGTTAATGGTGAGGCTCTATTCTCTTGTCATTGCCCCCCCCAACTTCCCAACAAGATTCCGTACCTTTAAAAGACACACAGAGACACCCCTGGGGAAAAAACCCTCCATCGAGCCAGTAGGAGTGGGAAGGTAGCAGCCCAAGCCAAGCCTGAGAGATGCACCAACGGTTCATTTGACCTTTTCTCCGAAGTGACCTTCATTGCAGAAAAAGCTTTTTACCTGCTAAATTTCTGCCCTTCCGGCTGTCCTTGCAGGCAGAGCAGCAGGGCCAGTAACAGAGGCTGTTAGCATTTTAAAAAATATACAAGAAATTAGACCAAATTAATTATGCTTCTTTGCATCTCTTTTGCATTTGCTCAGGCAGCAGAGTAATTAATAATGCGTGCTAATTAAATTAGTAGAGCCACTCTGCCACTTTCTTCACTGGCCTAATTCCTTTCTGTCTCCAATCGCCTGACATGCTAAAATTATTTAGCAGGGAACACACCCTTTTTTGGCATGGCAGGGAGACAAAACTAATGACATGCTTGATTTTGGTGTTACAGGTGAGTGCAAAAGGTACAAGCCAAGATTTTTTTTTAAAGGTGACAACCATCACCAATAAAATTGTTGTACCTAAGATTATAAAAGAAGCATTTTTTTCATAAGCAAGTATAAAATTAAAAGGAGCTTTGCAAAGTAAGCCCCCCCCCAATTTCAACGAAATGTGATTTAAGATAGAGCAAATAATAGGTCATAGGAGCCAATTACTGGATTTTTACACCAGGCCTCTAAGATTTACTTTTGCTACTTAGGCAATGATTTGCTGCATGGCCTGTGTCTCTGCAGATGGTTGGTGTATTATTGCAAGTATACTGAGATCCTTAGAGTGGACCCTTGACTTACAGATGGCTTGACTTACAGACTTTTTGAGTTACAGACTTCTCTGGCCGCAAAATTTAGGTTTGACTTGCAGACTGAGAATTGACTTACAGACCAGAAAAAACCCAAAATGGAACAAAAACGGCCTGTTACGGGATTAATCGGTTTTCAGTGCACTGTAGGTCAATGGAGACTTGACCTACAGCCTTTTTGACTTGAGAACCGCCTTCCAATACGGATTAAGTTCTCAAGTCAAGACCCCACTGTACTAAAATCTCCTTAGTTGCGGACACTTTAAGGGCCTGCAGAAACCTTCTTCAGCTCCAGATGTGTTGCATTCTATGTCCCATCATTCCTAACTAGAGTGGGGAAACTTTAATGACACAAACCAATATTTATTTGTGCATGGCACTCATCAAGTGTTGATGTCCTGTGATGGCAATGACAATTGTGGGTGTGGTGCATTTGTGGTACATTTCTGGAAGGTTTGGCCTATGATGACCTTCATGATTTCATTTTCAAACAATCCATTAAGACAAGCAAGGACTTGGTTTGCTTCTTTTTTATGCCTACAGTTATTTTCTTTTACCATTTGGGCCTGTAATAAGCTATGGGTGTAGTGCATGATTCATTTTCCCTTGACTAAGTTAACATAATACACACATAGCTAACCGACAGCACCTTTGAGGTTGAGGGCATGGATGCTCCCATTCTTGTTGGCTACTAAGCAGAAAAAAACAAACAAAGAAAAACACACAAGCCAGGTCTTTGGCCTCTTAAGACCAGAAAAGCAAAAGACAAGTTCATTTGTTGTTTCTATTGTTTTTAAAGTTGAGAAATGCTGTGCCTTCATTCTGCTGTGGCTGGTGACATCAAGACAAGATGAACACAAACAAGTGATTAACTTGTGGGAAGTTACGATTTGATAAACACCCAGGATTTACTATGCATTACACTTGGTGACAGTGGGGAAAAAATAATATCATGCTTTTGTTATTACAAATAACCGAGGAAATCCATAGCAGAAAATGTCTACCTTTGCCAAGCTGCTTATTTGTCCCAGGCCACCCTGTGGACAGTGTAAACTGGGGTGGGCAGCTGTAGCTCCAGAAATTTTTTTGGAGTGCAATTCTTACAGTTCTATACCACTAACTATGTTGGCTAGAATTGATGGGAGTTGTAGGTTAAAAAAATACCTGGAAGGTCCATGTTGCCTACCCCTGATGTAGGCAGTACATTAAGGATTTTTTGTATTTTTTGATGGGTTGTACTTTCTTTGCAGCCCAATTTCCTTTAATATACAGTATGGATAAATTCCAACATTTCAGTCCTTTGCCTCTGCAGAAAAACCCATGCTCACATGCATATGTATACAAGCGTACACATACACATCTTATTTTGAGGTTGCATTAGTTTCCACACTGAGGCTGTACAAGCCCCAAATCCACATCTCATTAATCTATGGGTTTAAATCAGCAAAGAATTGGTCAAAGAAATGCATTGTTGAAAAAGACAATATTTGAAATAGTGGAATATCAGACCCTAGGAAAAAATATTAAAACAACGATTTAGTGATCGGGATCCAAAAAGCTATTTGGGCCACATGTTCACACATTTCATCTGCAAATATGCCAGATGTGAAGTAGTGCTCCTCTAAACCAGGATTATAGTTAGGGTAGCTAGTTACATATCATCAAAAAAGAGGACATTGGCCAAGGTGAGTCACCCCACCTTAAGCAGCTAAGGCTGGGCATCACAAAAGAACAGTGAACAGTTAAGTAATGTATGATAATAGCATTTTTACTGCTCAAGAGGGTGTGTGTGAGAATGTTTAATCCTAAGGTGCCAAAGCAATTTTGCTTACTTTGGGTACAATGCACCCTGGCAGGGAGACCATTTGCTGCTCTGCAAATTGGCTTGGACCAGCAGTGCTCTCATGTTGCATGATGACCTTCTCTTCTCTAGTGTAATAGAGAACTCAGTGGTTTCCACATCAGAGGTTGGGAGTTTGATTCCCCGCTGTGCCTCCCTGACAGGGGCTTGAATCAGTCACCCATAGGGTCCCTTCTAACTCTGCAGTTCTAAGATGATGTTGATGACGATGATTATATTATCTTTGTGCATGTGTCACTCGACATGTTTTAAGTTAATCCCTTTTCTCACACAAATGTCTAATTCTTTTCTTGCTGGTAGGGTTTGGCTGAAGGTTCAAGGGCTGAGCAACTATTACGCTCCTCCTGCATTGTGGTTGTGGAAAACCAACACCCACTTACTCAAAACAAGACTAACGGATGTGTTGTCTCTTTTCAGGGGCAAAAACTAAAGAGGGTGTAGTGCAGAGTGTGACTTCAGGTAAGGTCATCATGCATTCCTATGTTGTATAACCTTCCCTCTGGAACAAGCGTCTTAAAGAAGTTTGCCAGACACCATCCCTCTGTTTTTAGGAAGCTGGTTAAGACCAAATTACTGTATATAAACCTGCCTTCTGCTAATATGAATGTTGTCCTGAGATGTTCAAATGGGTTTTAACTTAAAGTTACTTAAAGGTAGTTTTAGCTAGTGACAGGGTTTGTTGTATTTTATTGCATTTTTTTGGTATTTATTATATAGTGTTTTAGTGTATGGTTTTCTTGTATATCGTGAACTACCTTAGAGAGTGGCAACACACTATACTGGGGCAGTATATAAGTAAGTTAGTGTGTAAGTAAGAAGCAGTTTTCATTTTATGTCTTGGTTTCACTTGCATAGGTGACACCTCATAAGTCTTGAATATGTACACCTGACTTCACGTAAACAATCCCCTAACAGCATCAGAAAGCCCCAAAGAAAGTATTTCCACCTGAGCCATCTCTTTCATTGGGCAGAATGAGGCAGCTGCCTCAGACAGCAGATCCTACAGGATTCTGGAGAAACACAACTGGATCTTTAGCACAGGACCTGGGCCTTCTAAACGATGCTGCCTCCATCACATTTGGTTCATCAACTGCTCCTGTGCCTGGATCCAACTGCCCGTCATATCCCTTTATATGGATTAGGGAGTAGACAGCACCAGCTTTTTGCCTCAGGCTGCAAAATGTCCCCAGCCACCCTTGGGTGCCATGTCATTTTTGACCCATATGATGTATGGTTGCTCTGAATGTTCTGAAGGAGAAGGAAACTCAGGCGGATTTAACACTCTGAGACAGCAGTGTAACTGCATCTTGTTCCTATGTTTAGTCTTGAGCAAGGTTACAAAATGGATGGCCAAAGGCTGTTATTTTGTTTTGTTTGGATTACAACTCCTGGAATTCCCCAGCCACTGGCTTGCATCACAGTAGAAGAAGCCTCTTGTCTCCTGAAATAGCTACAGCCAACTGTGTCTCAGGATCAGCCCAAGTCCTTTTGCTTGAGATGTGGCTTCACCCAGGCTGGCAATGGAAGCCAGCCAGACTTATAGCTGCATCTTATTTCAGGTCTGGCAATGGGAACGCTCTCTTCTCCTGCAGCTGAAAGTGCTGTAGCAGCTGAGGCAGCTTCCCTTTTGAAGGAACCCCAGGAAAAGTTCTTCAGAGTAGCCCTCGCCTCTGTCAGGGAATCCTAACACTATTAGCTTGCTGTGATGGCTACACTCAAAGCAGCTGAGCCTGGAAACACTTGTAGTTTTCCCCCAATGTCATGACTTTATGTCATGTATGAAGAGTTCTGGGCCATGAATAACAGTTTTATTATTTTTCAATGTATATACAAAATTGAACAGAGTTTTCTTCCCTGGTAGGAATAGCAAGGCAGGGGGGTAAAATTGAAGGGATCACAAAAGGGCAGGGATCACCCATGGAATCTCCCTGCCAAGAACCTGTGGCCTCAGAGGCTACCTGGTCTATGATAGCTTGCAGAGAAATAAAGCAGGCCATGTGGTATGCATAACTCTGTTGTTCATCACTATGCTATTGCTCCTTGCTCCCTCAGCCAGACAAAGGATTGCTATCTCTGAGATTTCAGACCCAAACCTGGGACTGGAGCAGGGAGGTCATTGTGATGCCACAGAGGTACCGTATTTTTCCGTGTATAAGATGCTCCCATGTATAAGACACTCCCCACTTTTCTAATCCAAAATTAAGAAATCTAAGTGGGGCTTAGCAAGGGGGGGGGAATGGATCAAAGTGCTGCAGGATAGCTTTTATCCCTGCTTTCCCCTCCACTTGTTTTTGTTCTCCCCTCAGTTTACTTCTGTGTATAAGACGACCCTCAATTTTTACTTTTAAAGATTTTAGACAAAAGTATAGTCTTATATACGGAAAAATACGGTAGCTTCTTGTGAGGTTACGGAAGCCCATTGTGCAACCATTGGAAAAGGGGGTACTAGTTTTGGACTGGCTTATTATGACAGTGCTTTCCGTGCCTTGCGGAAGCTGTGAGTAAATGGGCCAGAATCCAAGGAAAACCCAGTGCTTATTCTGTTTAAATTACAAGGCCTTTCCTAACCATTGCATAAATCCATGTCTGGCCTGTACTACGTGACTGCAGTTGTGGGTAGGTGGATGAGTGACATAACATTGTACCCATTCATTTTTTATATATATATGAAAAACTGGCGTATAAGGATGAACATATCGAGGCTGCACCATTGTGGGTGGAAACTTTTACAGTGAGTGCTCTATTAGATAGACAGACAGATAATAATCATTAGTTATGTGAGCAGGTGCAGTGGTCAGGGACAGAAAAAGGTTTAACAACTCAGTGGGTGCTTGAATTCACCTGTTCTCCTGCTATCATGGGAAGAACTGCTGTTTCTGAAAAGATGATGCCTTCACTTCTAACGTGCTTGCACATACAAAAGCTCATCTGTGGCTCATCCACTCAACTTGCTTCTGCTTAATTTATAGTCGCTGAGAAGACCAAAGAACAGGCCAATCTTGTGGGTGAAACTGTAGTGGCCAGTGTGAACACAGTGGCAAAGCAGACCGTAGAAGGAGCAGAGACCATTGTAACCACCACTGGGGTTGTAAAAAAGGTAGGTATGGTCCTTTATTGTTGGTTTATGTTTAGGCCAGAATTGCAGCTTGCTTGAAATGACACATCTTGCTCCCAATAGCACCTATCAGATAATGTTGATGTGTGTGTCAGGTGGAGGGACCACTTGCAAAGAAGAATTGAATGACAGGTTGAATGAGTTTTTAAATGTTCCCTTGCAACCCCTCTCCATGAGCCATTTCCTACCCTGGTCAGGTTGACTTCTAATTTTTTTACTTATGGATCTTCTCCATAAAAGAAGCCTTTGGGTCATTTCAAGGGTCAGCATTCTGTTTCTATAATGACTACCAGTCAGAGGCCCATGAAAAACCCGAAAGAACATCAACAGTGTAAACAGCAATCTCTTGCCTGTACTCCTAGACAACTATTTTTTTTGGGTGGTGGGATGTTGCTTCCAAGATTGGAAGTAATATGTAGCAGTCATGAATAACAGCTCTTGATAGGCTTAAGCTCCATGTCTTCCTCTAATCTCCAATTAAAGCCACCTCTGGGTCAAATTATACATTACAGTGTCAAAAGACGAAATTGCATTAGTGTTGCAGAGACATGACTGGGGCAGATAAATAAAGTATGCTGCTTATATATTGCCCCATAGTGCTTCAAGCACTCTCTGGCTTGTTTACAAGTTAATTATGCAGGTTAAATATTACTCCTACCTCGTGAGCTGGGTACTCATTTTACTGACCATGGAAAGATGATACAGTAGGTGAGTGAACCTCGAGCCATCTACCTGGGAATGAACCCTGTGTTTTGAGCACAGTTTGACTGCAGTGCAGCAGTTTAACCACTGTGCCACAAGGCTCAGTTAAATCAGATTTAATAAAGCAAGCCCAGTTTACCGCCTGATGATCAATGGCAAGGCAAAGCAAGCTAATTTGTGAATTCTGGGATGTGTGATAAGCTCCTGTTGTGCCAATCAGATCTCTTCCAGCACCTAAGGAGTTCTTTCTTTCAAAGATGTACTGTCTATAATGTGATCCTCAACTGGTAGCTCTCACATCTTATGGTAGAAATTCCATAATGCAGAGCTTCTCAATCTTGGTTTATCGGATGTTTTTGGACTATAACTCCCAGAAATCCTGGCTGGTAGAAGTTGTAGCAAAGACTTTTGGGAGTTTTAGTCTAAAAACATTTGGGGACCCAAGGTTGGGAACCACTGCAATAATGTAACCAGGCAATGGCCAAAATCCTGTTGCATAACTTTGCACTGGCTTGAACCAGATGGGGGCATTGGAAGTAATCAATTTAAATTGATTAAAGCTTTCTGTGCCCCTGTTTCTATGCTCTATAGCAGAGTTCCCCAACCTTTCTATTAGTCTGGCCCGGCGGAGTCTCTGACGGAGGTGGGGCGGCCCTTGGCGCTTGCCTTCTCCGACGCACACGCACGGTGGTTGGGGCGCATGCCCTGTTTCTATGCTCTATAGGATTCCCTTTTGCCCTACTGAAGCCTTTGGAAGCCATGGGACAAGATGGGGAGATCTCATTTATGCCATCACAAAATTATGCAATAGGATTTTGCCCACTGTGTGAAGAAATAGCTTTGTAGAAAACCCACAGTTACAAGCCTTTGCCTTGCTGACATGCTTATAATAAAAGCCAGTGTTAATCTGCAGGTGCTCTATAGGATTCCCTTTTGCCCTACTGAAGCCTTTGGAAGCCATGGGACAAGATGGGGAGATCTCATTTATGCCATCACAAAATTATGCAATAGGATTTTGCCCACTGTGTGAAGAAATAGCTTTGTAGAAAACCCACAGTTACAAGCCTTTGCCTTGCTGACATGCTTATAATAAAAGCCAGTGTTAATCTGCAGGTTTTTGACTCATACAATTTTTGCTGTTTGTATTGTTGGGTTTTCTGCTGTGTTAATAATGGTCTCTTGATTAACATTGTACATTGATATCAGAGAGGTACAGTACATACTGGGAAAGTGCCTTCCTGTATATCAAGACATAGGCTTAGTTTTGAAAAGAAAAGTGCCACAGTATAGATTTTTATCCTTGGGGCTGCGCTTCTGTGGTATGAAAGACTGGTTTTCACCAGAGCTCAAAGAAGGGCAAAATAGTGAAAGGTGGCTCTCTCACACCAGCCATCCTTGCCCCAGGTATACACACGTTTTCCCACACATGGCCTAACCAGCCCTTTTCCTTTTCTAGAGCACTTTTGTTCTATATTATGGCAAACTTAAATCCAGGTGGCTGACACCCGATCCAGCACTCTGCCTTCCTTCCCTGTATTTCACCAGCAGTGCTTAGCGAATGGTGAAACATGACCTGGCATTCTTCCGAGCACAAGTGTGTTACTTTACATTGCTGTGAAAAAATAGGGAGAAGGCCCAGAGGTGCTGCCCTTCGTGAGCTATCTCTGGTAATATCTAATTTAACCACAGTACAGAGTGGGAACCCTCTGGGAACAAAACTATGCACATGGGGTTCTGCTAAGACATTTTGCTGCCTGAGGGAAAGGGCACGATGGCGTCCATTTGCTTGTAGAGAAGTCACCTGGACTGGATTTCAACAGAATAGTGTCCTCTACCACAGCAAAGGCAGCCACCTGCTTTAGAGGGCCCAAGAAGGGTCCTGCAGTTGCCAATGGGTCTCTCGACAGATAAGAGTAGCAGAAGGAAGAAGTTGCCCTCTCCCTGAGGTAATTACCTGACTTTGCTTTTTGGTTAGGACTGGCCCTTTCTGATCATGGGACGGATGCAGTCAAAATGTCTTTCTTTTACCAGCAGCAGGTCTTCAGGGTTATGAAGCTGGTATGGTAGCGTTGTTATCAATCCCCAGTGACTACACACCTATCTGTTAGAACAGCTATTTTCACTCCTATCCCAAAACCTGATAAACAGAATGGTGGGGAGAAGGGTGGCAGTGGCTGTATCAGACAAAGCATCATTCTTATATTTCTTGCTCTTGACTGGGTGCAATTCCATTCTAAATGAGCTGACTTCCATGTAAATGTTCCCAGCTTAGATCATGGCTCCATTCTCCTGACTGGATAATGCCACATAAGCTTGCTGCATTGCAGGCATCGGCTATGTGATCATAAGCTAATGCCCACTAAATTTGTAAATGAGCCACAGAGCCTGGATAAATTATCCAGGCAGCTAAAGCTTTGCCATGTTTTGTTATTTCACTTCTGTCTAGATTTATTAAGGCTCAAGCCAATAGGCCAGAACATTTTAGAATATGAAAACATACGATGGGTACACCTGCCGCATTGGTGAATGGTGGCAGTAAGAAAGGATACCTGAATGAAAGTAAGCAGCAACATGGTCTCCACCCTTCTTGTCTGTGGAGGAGATAACATGAAAAGCAGTCGCTGGTTGCAGCTAGATCCACCGTACAACACTATAATGCCTTGGCCAGCTTGTGAGAACACCAGGTAATTTAAATAAAAGTTGTTAGAACCTTTCTAAAGAGGAAGCTGGCCTCAGCTGTTCAGTGGGCTGTCTGTGAGCCTCAGCATTTGCTCCACATGGCAGCTGCTGGCCCCAAGCTTCAGTTCTGTTATATAGCCATGTGTAGTCCACTAAGGCCAGCCTGTTAGCATACCCTTCAGGTGTCACTGCCAACAGCGTAACGAAGAGTAAATGAATACAACACGTACCAGGATGACCCAGGCCGGGAAAACCAGGATATTTTACCTCAGGCCCCCTCCCTCAACTTCTGCTTGCACCATTAATTCCATCTCCCTCAATCCTGTTGTTTTGCTCAAACCGCCTCTCCCACCCATGGATGAATCCTGGTTAAGGGGAAGGGCTCGGACCTCCATCTACCTTGGTCCACATCCAGCCATGTACCAAAGGTAGGGGAAACTCCTCAACTGTGTGTAACACTGTGAAATGTTGAGAACAAGTAGAGATGGAAGCACAAATAGAAGGCTTATGATTTAGCATGTAAAGTCCAATACCCTGTTACATCTAGTCTTTCTATTTCTAGGCAGTCAGCTTTGCCAGGTTATGAGACGGGACATTAAAGTGGGGGAGATTTTAGTTCAGGCTGACACGTCTTCATCCTGCAATTGTGTGGGCTCTCGCCTTTCAAGATGCTAGTTTCCTGCTTGGTTAAAAATAGATTGGTGAGTCAGAGAAGTGAAGTCATGGTGAAGAATATATTTCTGAGACATAAGAGGAACAAACAGAACACCTCAAGCCTCACAATTCAATACTTACTTAGCGAAGGCCAAATCAGACATGCAAGGCAGTTGCTTGTACTGTATCTGAACTCTGTTGTCTGCCCCATTCACATATTAAATAGGATGGGATGTGTGTGTGGCACATGGAAGACAAGAGGGACCGAGTGAAATCTGTCTCCCCCCACCTTGTATGATCTTGCATTTAGATGTACTTTGATCTGTAGATTTTATCAGTGTTCTCTCTCCTCAACTCACCTCCAGTATCAAAAAGTGAGCTGGGGAGAAACTTGCTCAAAATCTATACTTTAGCAAGGGAAAGGGGCAGGGCCTGTTTGTTCTTTTATGGCACAGCTTGTAGATCAGAGTGTTGGAATGTTGCTTACAGAGACCTTTGGGGTTACAGTCCAGAAAATTCTCTTCTGAGAGTTTTGGTTTGGGAAAACAATTTGTCTAGGCTCTGATACAGATGCTGTCCTTATTGTACATATTCAATGCATGTTAAAGTGTATATTAACTGGCTCATATATCTACCGTAGTTTCCTGAGAATGAGAGTTGTTTCTTATGCCTCATCAACTCTACCATGTCACTTGTGTGGGACAAAATTAAAATTACTGTCAAATTAAAATATAAAATGCAAGATAAATTGCACTGTCACTTGTGTGGGACAAAATTAAAATTAAAATTTAAATATAAAATGCAAGATAAATTGCAGAAAAACACACTGGTGTCTGTTAACTTTTCTCAGTGCAGATGGTACGATTTAGAAGCTGATTACCTAAGGTTTTGCTCCTTTATGTGGAGTCATTAACTCATCCAAGTATTAGCACCACTGCTGCATCCATATCATACAACCTCACTACCACCAGAAATATATATTTCAAGAATTTCACTCACTAAAGGTATAAAGCTGAATACTGTACATGAGTAATATAGAATGACCAGGCCTCCATATCATACAACCTCACTACCACCAGACATATATTTCAAGAATTTCACTCACTATAAAGGTATAAAGCTGAATACATGAGTAATATAGAATGACCAGGTACAACTTTAAGGATGAGGAAAGCCAATGTTGACCTTTTTTTAACATGTAAAGTGAGCACTACTGTGGTCTTCTTCTGAAGAAGATAATCAAAAGCAGGTTTGTATATGTTAAAATGAGCACAGGAAGGGGATGTGTAAAATGTGCCAGTGATAACTATATTCTATTTTTCTGAGAATCCCCACTTTCATTTTGAGCCTGTATCAATGAATATGCTTGATAGTGCGTGGCCACTATCTGGTGAATATCAGGAGCCAAAGTGATGTCTAAATACAGTTTTTAAGGACTCCCTTAACCTTCCTGCTAGTTAGTGAAGACAGAATACATGTTGTGTGCTTTTGAGGTCTAACTGTGCTTTAAGTATGTGTTTTAGGGAATCCACATACTCGGTGTGTGAGTGTTCCATAAACATAAATGTAAAGAATGGAATACTGGTCATAGTGATGGCTTTGTGCAGAAGCTAAATGAGCTTTACATTTGCAGAACTGCACCAATAGGATTTTGCCCCGTATTTGAGTACCAGTTTGGTGCAGTAGACTGTGATAGACAAGAAGTTGGAAAACCTGGGTTTAAAGCTCTGCTCAGCCATGAAAACTCACTGGGTGACAGTAATATAAAACCACTTCTTAAATATCTCACATAATGTACTGTGAAAACCCTAGGAAGGTCACCATCAGTCAGATGGAACAGGAGGGCACATAACAAACACAAAAACTGGCATACTTATAGAAAAGTCCTTATAGAATTGTGTCCTTATCACTGGGATAAACAACAGGTTATGTTTTTGCTTTAAAGTACTGCCCTATTTTTGACCAACCTGAAGAAAGTATTCATTGTTGTTGTTTGGCATACATGATGAAACAAAGAATTCATTTCATCATGTAGTGGAACGAATTCCCAAACAAATTTCCAAAGAAAATGGGTTCAACTAACCAAGCAAGATGCTGCCCAAGATGTTGCTATATATTAATTTCTTCTCCCTTTAAGACTTGCAAAATAATTTAGTGCAGCTCTACCATGGTCCACCTTCCTCAACTTTCCCCCAGATAAACAGCCTTTGGAGTTTTGACTTGTAACCTGTTCTTCTAAAGGATTTGCTTTGGCTCCTTGAAGTCAAGATGTGAGGCTTCTGTGCTAGCATGTGAGTCCTCAGAGAGCTTCACTCCAATAAGTGTGTACCCTTTTGTTTATGTTCTGCAGGAGGATTTAGCACACCCAGAGCAGCCTGAAGAGCCACCCGAGGAGGCTGCAGAAGATGACGCCCCAGTGGAAACCACAGAAACCAGTCCAGAGGTAAACCACAGTCACAGCCCAGCTAACCCCAGAATCCTTGGCTGGTCTGGGGTTTTTCTCGCCATCTATTGTTCTTTCCTTACTTTCTCTGTGCTGAGCTGGTTTCCATTTGTTTTCTGCATACAGGTGATTTCAAATCTTTTTTCTGCCAATCTTTATAGTCCAAATGCTCCCATTTTCTTTTTTCCAGCTGCAAGTCCACACATGGCCTATTTTCACTTTATTAGGCTAGAAAAAACATAAATGGTTAGAGGGAATTAAAAAATAAATTAAGAGAAGTTTTGTTTTCAGTGATGTACAAATACATCTTTGCCCCGTTTTTGCAGGGCAAAACCCTCCAAAATCTGTTTAACAGATGCAAAAGTAGACAAATTATTGCAGTACAGACTGTCATAAGCTCTGGAAAAAGAAAACAGCCAGCAATTATTTGTCTGTTTGCAGTCTTTATTTGCTACCATCATTATTTCATTTGTAGTTCAGGGGCCGACTTTCAACGGAATAAAGAGCAGCCTTCTTTAAGAAACTATTGGATAAATTTATTTATATAGATATATGCGTCTATTTTGAAAAATTAAGCTCAAGGAACTGTGAGAAATCTCAATTCTCTTGCAAGATCAGTGTCTTGACCTTAAGTATCAGCACACATGATTCCTCCAGAGAAATATTCATTTAGCTATTTATAGTAAGTAAGTAAGTAAGTAAGTAAGTAAGTAAGTAAGTAAGTAAGTAAGTAAGTAAGTAAGTAAGTAAGTAAGTAAGTAAGTAAGTAAGTAAGTAAGTAAGTAAGTAAGTAAGTAAGTATCATTTATATGCCACCTTTCTCCTGAAAGAATCAAGGTGGCCAACAATATTAAAACAATAGTCGTTCAAACATACAGATGCATAGTCTCTTACAGTCTGATCACTTGCTTACTAAGTTGGATGCAAGGGACTCCAAAGGCCTGTCACTGCCCTTTTAGTGTTTTTCGACTATTTTCCCACAATTCTGCAGATTCCCACTCACCACCCTTCTGGAGTCAGTTCTGTAGAGTTAACATGAAACATTAACCTGCTTTCTTGTCTTTCTTCTTCCCAGGGTGAAAATGAAGGAAATTAACCCTCCTCGGGTCTTCTAGTAGGAGGGGGGAAAATAATGAGAATCCCAGGAGTAAATGCAGAAATGTTAGCTGACACCAGAGCAGGGAAAGCACTCATACCGTAGGCTAACTTCATTTGGCACTGCAGTCTTTCACTTGCCTCGTATCAAACTATCATAGATGTCTGTCAGACTCTTGATCATATGTGTTAGGGGTGACTTTGTGTGCACAGCACATTGTGCGTCTCCCTTTCTGTCGATTTCCTTTGTGCTTTCTTCTTTGCCCATCTTCAAGCTTTCCAAGCGCGTGGCCTGGTAGCTGATGTGTCTTAGCACAGTTGTGGTTGGAATCGCCGAGCAATGTCTTTTGCCCACTAGCATCAGCCCTCGAGATCCCTGGAAATGGTGGACATATTTTCTTTTCTAAAGAGACAAAATAAAAGAACTTGTTTCAACGAAGTCTTTGTCTTCTTCTCCTTGGTCTTAGTCAGCCATTGAAGAACAGCAAATCTGCTGTGACGATGATATGGAAAAAAACCTGTTTTCACCAGAGATTAGAGCAGGGCGAAAAGAGCGCAGGGTGGCTCTACCACACCAGGCTAGTAGATTTTCACAAACAGGAAGGTGGTACAACAAACCCATCCTCGCCCCGGATACACACACATTTTCCTGCACATGGTCTAACTGGACCTTTTCCTTTCCCAGAGCCATTCTGTACTATGGCAAACTAAGAGTCCATCCACACTGATATATAGATATATATCTCGCTGAGGGCATGATTTGTCTTGGGGGGAAAAATTTCCTGCTTCCGCATATGTTTCTACTTAGATTGAGCCATCCGTCCCCTTTAAGAGTTGTGTTGGACCTTTCTGGCTCAGTGATACAGCATGAACTTTTCTGAATGCTGACAATAAGCAGAAGTGCCCCTTGTTGGCTCCAGGCGCCCAGACAGTTGCCACTGTCACCAAGGTGCTCCCCTTCCGCAGAGGCAACTGTCTGCTGGAGTCACATGTCAGGGATAATGTGCTGTAAGTGGGTGAGAGACTAAGTGAGTACCAGTGACCTTGGGGTGGACCGCCCCTTCTGCCCTTCTCCTGTGCATCCCACAAATTCACTCCCCACACTCTGTATTCTTGCTCCCCTCCTCCATTCTCTTCCTCCGCTTTCTCTTCCTTCCTTTCCCAGTTCCTCCTCTCGTCTGTCTGCCCTCCTTCCCTCACTGCAGTTCCACCTGCTGTTTCTATCATCTTTGTATTCTCCTAGCTGCTCTTCCATCGTCTTTGCTCCGGTCAAATTCCATTTCTTTCCCCAACCAAACAGCATCCTCTTTGCTCTCCTCTCTTGCTTCTTTCCATCCCGAGACCCATTTTCCTCCCCATTTCTCCCTTCTCTTTTCGCTTCCCCTCTTTATTTGCTGTTTCTGCTTTGACAGCTGATTGGGCTACAAGGGGTCATTTGCTATGGAGATGGAAGGAGTGAGCCAAAAGATACATTGAACTGCTGGATGGGTTTAGGTCTCTGGCTGCAGATCCTGAAGTTGAGAGTTTGATTCCTCACTGTGCCTCCTTGAGAGGGACTGGACTCAATGGTCCATAAGGTCGCTTCCAGCTCTGCAGTTCTAAGATTCTTCTTCTCTGACTTTCGCTATTTCAAAGTGTCACTTCTAGGTTACAAGCTCCCACATTGTTAGATTGTGAATGAAACATTCTTACTGTTCCTTTTTACTCTTAAAAGACGTGTTACTGTGTTTTGGATTGAAGTCTGACTTAAGTACTTGTCTACAATTTAAGTTTGGTTTTCATATATTTTAAAGTATTTTGTACCTACAGTTTTTGTCATAACTGTAAGAATGTTGGCAGTTTTGTGACTGGGCAGGGATCCTACATATGTTCAATCCAGTGCTTGGAAAAGTTACTGTTTTCAATGTCAGCTCCCAGAATCTCCCAGTCAGAAAAGGCAATAGCCATGCTGGCTAAGGGATTGTGGAAGTTGTAGTCCAAAAACTAACTTTTCCTATCTTTGCTTCAAACAGAGGTTTGTCCCATTCATTGACGTGGGATGAATCTCCTCTAAGATGCTCTCCTCACAGCTAAATTCATTTCTGGTATTGGCAGCCCATGGCAACATCTGTAGGACAAGGTAGACCCTTGACATCAGCCACATAGGATTGCATACTGACAAAAACATTGGCTTCCATCCACCAGTAGAGATGGGCATGACCTGCTGGCTCAGCGCTTCATGCCAGTTCATTTATCATCCAAACAGGTGTTCGGCGCTTCAAAGACCCACCTACTCCAGCAGGTGTCCACTCAGAGGCAGCTGCCTGACTTCTTTGCCCTGCCTCCCTCGGGTGCTGTCTCTGGGTGGGCGCCCACCAAAGAAGACAGGTCTTTGAAGCATCAAACATCTGTTTGGTTGATAAACAAACCAGCACAAACCACCGTACTGGCAATTCATGCCCATCTCAATCCACCAAGTAACACTATTAATTGGGATTTAATTTGGCTTTAATTGGCTTTTCCTGTTTGATGGGTAGACCAAATTTTAATCTTAGTTCTCTGATGGAGGGTGATACATTTCTGTGTTGCTTTTTCACCAGCCAATTATTTGCCAGTCTTTACCTGCCATGAATTTCTGGGACTCTCATTTCTAAGATTTCTGCACTATCCACAAAAAATCAGTGCATGGCCTGTGGAAGTGGAGTTGACCCACAAGATCTCACCCATGGTTTTGAATATTTTTTTTGGTTGTTTAATAAAGGTATCACCTACTGCATTTGTGTGTGTGTTTTTTTCATACTATAGGACCTTTGCTCGTTCGCAAAAGTTTGCCTCTACTTGTGAATAGAGCTTCAAGATATCTACTTGCAAATGGAGCTTCAAGATACAAATGGAAAAAAACTTTCCTTCCCTTTTTTTTTTGACCTAAGTTCATCTTAGGTCTAAAGAAGAAATTTTTAAAAAAAATTCTCCCCCTACTGTTAGAGTATGGATTAACCGGCTTTGCATTAGTTCCTATGGGAACTAATGCCTCTACTTGTGAACGGCGCCTCTAGATAAGAACGAAAACCAGCCAGAATGGATTAAATTGTTTTCAATGCATTCCTATGGGAAAATTTGCTTCTACTTAGAAACATACAAACGTTTCAACTAATGAACATTTTCTAGGACAGATTAAGTTCGTAAGTAGAGGTACCATTGTAACAATCTTACCTCATTGTAATCTTTCGTGGATTGCAATTCACTTCTCGACAACAAGACTAATGCAGGATAGCAAGCCAGTCTCACTAATACTGAATGCTATTGAAAACGGATTAAGTTCGTAAGTAGAGGTACCACTATCTTACCTCATTGTAATCTTTTGTGGGTTGCAATTCACTTCTCGACAACAAGATTAATGCAGGATAGCAAGGCAGTCTCATTAATACTGAATGCTATTGAAAGACCTTAGCAAATTATAAAGAGTTAATATTGGGGTCCAAACATCAAGACAAGAATGGTTTGCAACAGAAGGAGGATGAAGTGAAGGATAATTTCAATAAAAAGGCCTAGATCCAAGTGTGAACACAAACAATATCTCATTTTGGAAGGCAGCAGTCCTTCACAGAGAGCCTATCCATAGTCAGCATTTGTTCAGCTTCCCTTGCACCCATGATACTGGTGCTGCATTCTGATGTCCACACAATGCAGGGCTGAAACTAGTGCCAATAGAATATAAACAGGACAAAAAAACCTTGCTTGTTTTGCTTTCCTCTGATGTGATCCAGTGCAAGATCTGCTCACATGGACACTAGTAATGTATTCTGTGCTGATTCATGCACTTTGTGGGTGTGCATCATTTGATAATGTTTTCTTATGGGGTTTTTCCCTGCTAGACAATGTCCACCTCTGCTGGATAGATAAAACAAAAAAAGGGAAAAGAGACTGAAGTAGGTGAGGAGAGTGCAAAGAAGATAAGCCAAAGGGGAGGGCAGTCTGTGTTGGGAATGAGGTGACAGGAAGTAATTCTGGGTGTGTGCAGATAGGCTGTTCCAGAACAACCTAGTGCAGTGGTACCCAACCTTGGGTCCCCAGATGTTCTTGGACTACAGTTCCCAGAAATCCTGGCCAGCACAGCTAGTGGTGAAGGCTTCTGGGAGTTTTAGTCCAAGAACATCTAGAGACTTAAGGGAACCACTGCCCTAATGCATCCCAGTACATCAAGCAACAAATACACTCCCCATGTGTGGAAGCAAATATCTGGATGATCTATTTAAATCTGCAACCTCAGAAAAACTGGAGACAACAGTTGTAGATGAGCCTGATGAGTAAGTAACAATACTCAAAGGGAATGTGGTAGTCCCTTTTTTCATACACTTGAACCTGCTTCAGACTGAGTGAGGTGAGACAAGTTATAATTTTGCTATTAAGTGGAGAGTGGCTTCTTTACACAATTTAACAAGTCTCAGGTCATGAAGAGCTTTCCAGTGGCATCCAGAAACAGAGCTATATATGAAGAAGAGGATTGGCAGCCTGGGGCCTTCCAGATGTTTTCAACCCCATCAAGTCAAGCCAACATGGCTGTCACACACACCTCCAACTCCTCTGTATGTTCTCCCTAACAAACAGATTTGCCTTCGGGCATGACCATTTCTCTTGCCTCCACTTCTGCTGCCACCAAAGGAAATCCTTCCTCAATTACCAATTAGGACCCCAGAATCAGTCATGTCAAATATAACATTGTTTATTAACAGATTAACATATTTAAGACTCAAGGAACTCATAGATGAAATTGTATTTGATATTCATTAAACTTCATTTAACTTGTAAATATGCTGGTTACTTTGTATTTAGTTTCAATCACTTTAAAACAATTTATTTCTTATAGTTTTCATTGCATTCAGTTCTCTTATACTTTTCTTTCCAAGGCTTTCTTTCCAAAACAGTTCTTCCAACTACCTACCTCTTTCCCTAACTCCTAACTAACTATCCTGTATCATCAGTAACTGAAACCCCTAACTCCAGGCTAACCGAAACTCTGATTATAACTGTCCTTTTCTCATATTTCTTGATACTGCCCTCCTGCCCAACCATTGGCTACTCAATCAGTGTTCCATTGTGATGGACAGGTGTGGTTTCTGGCCTGTCTGTCACAATGGCCAATGACCAAAGCATGGCAGGGGATAAGGAGAGAGTGCCAGGCTTCCTCTCCTGTATGTAAAAGGTAAGGTCCACAGAATAGACAATAAAAAGCACCAAAGGTGCATTCTGATCAATTATTTTCTCTTTCTGCCCCTAACATAACATTAGCTGGCTTTTCTTAGGTAGAAATTTTTGTGACACAGCCCCTCCCTTTTAAGGGGAGTGAAGCCAGCAACAGCATAGATCTTTCAGAAACATTTCATTTAACAGGATTCACTCAAAAACTGATCTGAAGTGACTTGCTCAGGAGCCCTCAG